AAAAATTTTCGCCTCCCTCCGCTCGGCGAGTTATTTTATTCTACACCCCCTCTTTCAAATATCCTGTAAACGCCCCTGATCGCGAACTCCAATCACGGATTTCGGAGTGTAGTGGTGTCACACCGCGAATCACGGATTATACTCCCAATTTCCTCCAAAGATTCTCTCCCAACACCGCATGGCTGTTAATTGGTTTATTGCCCATCGGATGTACTGAAAATTAATGACGCGTGACAACATAATCGGATTAGCCAGATTTATTACCTTATTTTGTATTTTTATTATAGTCCGGTCAAAATGATGTTTTTACGGTAATTTGTCCAATCTAAACCCAAGAGTTAATTTATCGGATCAACAAGTGAACTCTGTTACTTTCAATTTATTTTGCAATGTAAAATATTATGTTTCACTACCTCGGTAGATTACCGACTTGAAATATTTGAACTCAGAAAAGAAACTGTAAAGTGACAACTCTGTTGAATGAAGGGAAAACGTTTTGTATGCAATGTGCCCTATATTCATAAAAACACAACACTGAGAGACATTCCCCGCCCAGACACAACACAATAATCACAACCTAATTTAATTATATGAAGAAAAAAAAATCATGTGTTGTTTATCTCTGTTATGATCTGTTATTGATCCTTTATTATTTAAAATAAAATTGGATGGGCGCAATCCGTATTTTACTGCTCGTTAAAATTCCTTGGCGAAATAAAAAAAAGAAGTATTTCAACAATTAATACTATAGAATATTTAAATAAAATTATATCGTGTTCTACAAGAAAGAAATATGTGAAAAAAATGTGGATCGGATTTTTACGATCTACACATTTTCACAGAGGATCTCTACCATTGCCCAACAGGAACTGAACGACATGCATCCTGTTTTCATCTACCATTTATGTATATTGTTGACCATGGACGTATAAATAATGTCCAGGTTTATGTCCTGTGTTGACTGAGAAACGTAAAATTAAAAGGCTGGTGTTCGTTTATTCAGAAAAGGATTCTATTTTAGATTCCGGTTAATCAATTGTAAAAGGACCTTCTAGAGCCTCAATCTTAAGGCATACAAATGTCATGAATTTTCCCACGGTCATCCAGAAAGGTCACCTGAGTTTACCGTTACGTGATAATATTTCCCACCAAATAAAAATCTCGTGGACAAAATTGATGTCACTATTTTTAGCATTCAATATTGTGAGCGAAGTCAAGTTCAAAGTTCAACCACGGACTGTTGATCACTGAGATGTGTATCGTCTTCCCACGGCAATTAATTTCTTTTAAAAAATTTAAAAATCACTGTCCTTTATACAACACACAAGTTTACATTCATTGTGCGTAAATGAATATTATGCAACGAGGAGTTGATGCAGCTATAGAAGTATTCCTGTGGTAGCCGAAATGTAATTATTTATCCTAAAGTAATGCCAACAAATCGTAAAGAGAAAATGCTGTAGACTTATTAAGCATAAGAATGGTGAATAGTATTTTCTTTTTTACTTGCATATACAAATTTTGAGACACATAATTTTCTTTAAACTGCTCACTTTTATATTCAGCGTTAGTTTCTGTTTATTTTTACGCAAGTATGTCTCTTTTCGTAAATAAAATAATTTACCGATGAACTTAAACAAGGTCAAAATCAAGTATAGTTTTTGTTATAAAACTTTAATGCAATTGAAAGAATTAACAACAATATTCTGCTTTTAAATCTTTAATTTGTTTCAAGCAATTATGTAATCGTAAAATGAAAATGGCGTGGACTTATTAGCATAACGAATAGTGAATAATATTTTCTTTTTTACTTGTATACAAAACTTTGAGACATGTAATTTTCCTTTAAACTGCCCACATTTATTCAGCGTAAGTCTCCGTTTATTTTTACACAAGTATATCTCTTTTGTAAATGAAATATTAATTTACTGACCAGAAAAAAAACGAGGTAAAAATCAAATATAGTTTATTTTAATAAAACTATTTTTAAATGTACAGTGTAATTGAAAGAATTAACAACAACGTTTTGCTTTTAAATCTTTTATTTGTTTCAAGCAATCAGAAATATAACCTGATTATCAATAGACAGGAAATACAATTGTTTAATTACATAAGTAATCTCGCATACCTTGACTGTCGCGTGCCGGTATAGATCAGAAGGATTAGGGCAATTAATTACCTGGTGTGACACCGCGTCACACCGGACTGGGAGAGATGTCGCTAATACAATAAACAAAAGCTAGCGAATTTACGCGGAAGTCGGAGGGAATACTCCCAAATTTCTCCGAGAATTTAGGGAGGGATGTTGGAGTTTCCTGGTGTCACACCAAGAAAAAACTTGGTGTTCAGAGTTTGGGAAGCCTTTCGCGAAACTTGTACTGTACTTTCCAAAAAACACTAGTGATACTTTGAAGTCATAATTACTATTATTTTATATTCATTATTGATGAAGTCCTCAGTGTCCATGTCGTGTTATGTCAACATGAATACAGGCATATAAGTGAATCTAATAGAGACAAACTGGATGACATATTAGGCCAAATAAGCCCTGATGAGAGTTACAAGTCCTCTGTTATCCCTGATATTGCAGCCACAAGCTTATATATTATGATATTTTACAGGGGACAAGATTCACCATTATTAATGCAGTTACCATGTATTAAAAGTATCGCCTTGGTGATCTCCTGGTAGCATGTTTGTCTCAAGTGCAAGAGTTAAAGGTATCAAACCTCGGTTGAGTCAGACCAAAGACTTTAAAATTGTTATTTGCTGCTTCTCCACTAAGCATGCTGCATTTAGGAGTAAGATATCTAGAGCAAAGACTGGTCGGCTTAGCTTCAGATAAATGTGTTCATGTAGGGTGATCAGGGCTTCCAAAATTTCCTGACGACAGCCGGACATTTTTCAAAGAAATATTTTTGACGGTCAATGATCAGCTGGATACTTAAATGTAACTGAGAGGATGCATAAATTGATATATGTGTCTAAATAATTAGTAGTGTTATATGCAATAAAATTATTTATAACTGTTTTGTTTTCTTCATTCTAAAAATAAATAAAATATTATCCTCGGTATTGTGTCATTTTTCTGTGTATCGTAATACAGTAACCATCATTGCATCAATCAGCTTCAGTACCTGACTGTTCTCATGTTTTTGTTTCTGTTTATATAATCTATCTTCTCTCTGTGAGTACTTAACACTTTGTAAATTAAGGCCATCTTATTTGAAACTGTTGATGTTGGCTTTAATTGCAGTACAACTTGATCATCAATACACGTGATACTTTTCTTTTTGTGTATTGATTACCTGACCACGTGACTTTTACAACTGATGCGGTATTTATAGATAACATTGAGGAGGCCCGATGAAGGATATTGTTTTAAACCGTGTAAAATCTACTGAACAGTGATAACATTTTTCTTTGTACAATTTCCCAACCTGATTTAGAAAATAAGGAATAAATAAAAACATACTCAGTTGATAAATAATTTAATGAATAACAACATGATATTTTATGTAAGCATATAACAACAATAAAATGTCAGAAGAGCACAATGCTGACAAACACACGCAATAAATATTACAATGAGCACATTGAAAAGAAGCACAGATCACAGCACAAGATTAGAGTTCATTTAGTCTAATTAAAGATTTTACATTCATGAGCTTGCTAAATGCATTGTTCTGATAAACATGGCGGTTACGAACGGATTGCCATTTGCGGATAGCAGGAACAGGGTCAAAGTCTTTAACATCTACACCTACTAAGCTTATCCTCATAAGTTGATCTAAAGCGTCAATACCTAGACTACACCTTAGTCGATCATAGTTCCCACGGCGGGACTTAACTTTACGTCGGACATCACCTCTTTCTCTATAACATCGGAAATTGTCTGAATAAATTCGGAGCAGGCATTGTTCTCTTGATATAATTTAGAAGTGATCACGGCACCATTTAACTTAGTTAAATCATTTATTGACTGAAATTTGTCCATTGGTTTTTCCTATATATTTTAGTAAATTTTCCCCTTGAGAGTACCCCAGTATTTAACACGATGTACAGTGTTAAATAAAATAATATATATCATACTTATTCATTTATAAATATCCTTATTTGAAGAATAACTTTTAAATATCAGGATACTTTTAAAACTGAATGCTCATATAAAATAATATCTATAAAGCGTAATTAAATAGGATGTTGTTCCATACACACTTACATGTTTGACCTCGTTTACCGGATTACCTTTATGTACATTGTTATGCATCATTAATTCTATTGATAAAGATAAGCTAAGGACACCTCATCAAAGGTAACAAACCTGTAATCAGTGAATGATTTATGGCTTCAATATAACTTATTGAAGGGATAATTGTTTGACAGCTTGTTGTTATTTAAATAAAAGAAAACGTGTTTTTTCTACTTTTTATTGATGTACACAAGCTAAAGACCAAGCCGTACATTTATGTACCCAGAGTATTAGACTAACTGAGACACTTCAAAGTATCTGAAATATGCTGCTTCTGTTTTATTAAACCCAATTATGACCGAAATATCTTTGTGAAATAGATTGCCACAATTATAAACTAAAATGCCCAAACGGACATGCCCAAAGCCCCAAACGGACATTTTTATCGATCGATAGTTGGTAAAAATTGAAATGACCGTTTCATGAAAATGCCTTGAATAACAAAATGTGGCACACCAATTCTATTTGACCGTTTGAGGCTGAGAGCAGCCGGTCTTTTTATGAAAGTTTCGGTCAAGTCCGGAATATATGACCGTTTTGGAAGCCCTGAGGGTGATATGTCTTCATGTGGAGTGTTAACTTATTAAAATACCACATTAAAAATCAGGCTTTGAGTGTCTGTCTAGTAGAAAGCAGGGTTTATATTAATCTCATATTATCATGTTCATGTCCTGAATATGCATTTAATTTGCCACTGGACATTAAACAGCTATGATTTATAAGCTAATATTTTGACATCTATTTCCAGGACACATGGGTAAAGGATTTAGAGTTAAGACTGGAAAAGTTCCTGACATTAACTCTGAAGTCAACACCACAACCAAAACTGTTCGATCTTTATGTATCCTTTTAAAAAAAGATAATAGCATTATTTTTTAGTCATAGAATGGATCTTACCATACCTTCTTCTTTGACAATTATACAGAACAGATATTGTGTGAAACAATTTACAGCTGCTTTTTTTTCTTAACATCCAATCAGAGAGGAAATAAAGTTGGCGATGAAAATGGTGAGATATCTTTATTGTAAAAACTTTACTGAAGTTGTGTGTCTTGTAAATAGATATCCTTAGCACATACTTATAGAAAGTTCAGAGTGAATCAAATAAAATCACTAGCCACTGAATTAACTTGTGTAAACTCTTTGAGGAGATATAAATGGAATGGAATGTAGTTTTAACAACTAAATCGGTAGATAATTCTGAATATTTATTACTGAATAATATAATCTTCAGTTAGGGTTGTTTCAGTATAAAATATGTGGGATTAGGTATATGGTAAAAAATTCAAAGATGAAGGCATTTTTTCAGAATCCCCACTTGAATTTGTAATGTAAAAATATATTCTGGAATCTGGACCCAGCCACTAATCAAAATGTATATGCATAAACCTTCAATTAGACCCTCTAGATAAACTTTTTTCTGGAATATCCTTAATACTAGCATGACTAGATAGATACCCTTTAATTTCTGAAATAGGATTAAAAAAATGAAACGCTTAGTTCATCTATTTTTTTCTGGCAATATTTTAAGCTTCCAAATAATTTCATTTGATATTGGAAATGATATTAAAATACAGCCAAAGATGAACTTAAGGTCTGTAGACTGTATTGTAGCTGTACAATGTCATACCCAGATGTCCAGAAAAAACATCGCTAATCAAGCCTATAACTTTTAGCTTTCTTATGATTTTATGTTTTGATTTTAACATTTTTCAATAGAGCAATTTCAACAGATATCCCGATTACAGCAGCAGTTAGTCGACTCTGAAAGAAAGACCATGTCATACATAAAACGACACAACCGTGTACAGGTACCTCTAACACTCAATCCTCACTGGTCTAACATGCATGGACATTGTTCATTATTTATTTTGCATGCTAATTTTGGACTTGAACGAACCTCATATTAGTACATGCTAATCAAATTGGTAATCCTCCTTCACCTAAAATTTTAAACATGTTACAAGGCATGAGAAAGAATACATGTAAAACATCATGGTAAGTAAGGTCACACCAATGTCATTTTTAAAACTTTGACATTTTACATGCAAATATGCATGTAACCAAGTTTCCTTCTGAAAATTTAAAGGTTTAAATATGTGTGCATATTTGAAAAAAAAAGAAAAGATACATGACATTTAAGTCACATTAGTAATAGTTAAAAGAAAAGAGAGGGGTAGGAGGGGTGCCATCCGGAATTCCAGTTCTTTCCCAGATCATGAAATATTAATTCCTGAGTCCAAATAAGTGAAATTTCCTGCAAAAATAAAGGCATACTCCCTATGTCCTGAAAAAGATCTTTCCACCCCTCCTAAAGCTAATCCATAGAAATGAAAATCATTGGTGTGATCAAAGCACATGTTAAACCTATGTGTAGTTACCTCAGGTTGGAATAATAATAGTAAAATATTAGTTAGAAATCTCTCTCTAAATCAGTGTAAGATAATTTCTTCTTTCTTGCATGTATTTTCAGTATTCTCATTGGTAAGTTGTCTTTTCAATCTGTTGTCTTTAATGTTTTGTTTGTCTATGTAGCTTTTGTATTATTTTTACAAATCATGAATATAAATAAAAGGTGATGTATGACATACATCAATGAGAAAACAGCAGTATAGTTAAAGGTCAGATAAGTGTGGAAATAGATGTCATTTTTTGTGTGTAAATATAGATACAATGCTGGTCGATAACTGTTTTCTGTCCTGTAAATCTGTCAATATTTATGTTGACTGAGATTCATATATATAGAAGGTTAGTCACTTTAGGTCACTGTACTGCCTTCAACAATGAGTAAAACCATACCGCATAATTTATTGTTTGTATTTACAAAAGTGAAAACTTTGACAACAATGAACAATATTCCCTAATTCTATTTTTCCTTTTTAATTTGTGCATTATATTTCAATTATTTTTTCATAGAGTTAAAATTTTCTTTTCAAGTTTATAGATGAAATTACCTAATATGTTATTTTTAGATGGGCATTTCTATTTATTGCATTTTGATGATTTTAATTATTTCTTTGAAACTGTGAATGAAAAAAAATGTTGCTACTGACTTATTAAAATTAGCTTGAGTTTTTTTCCCTACATTGCTATACCTTAATTAGGAGATAATTTAATAGATTTTTTAACCTGGCCTATGTAAAACCAAGCTTAATGTAGACCAAGTTAAAATACTTAATTCAGTTATTGCCATCTAATATGAATATAAATTAAACAAAACTTTATCACAAAGTGTATAAAACCTGATTAAAAAGAGATTTCGTGTAAACATCAATTAGACAGTTGTCATGCAGCAGAGGCCTAATCATTCTTGAGAGGACACATGCTCCTACACTGTATGACAATATTATATTATATAGACACTTTTGGTGTTTAAGACTGTATGTTGACAACTAGATGTCCATTGGTTTTGTGCCATTGGGTTGCTGTGGACAATACTCCTGACATTAGTTCTATATATATATATGTGGGGATGTTAAGCAAACAACAATCAATCAATCAATTATATTTCTGCTAGGGTAAAACTTGCAAATCAGTCCAAATTACACTCATCAGTTAAAGATGATAGGAAAGTCGAATTCAATTATGTTTTATTAAAAGTATTGGTCTATGAACTTAAAGTGAACAATGTTCCTGCATGCTATAGACCAGTTAAATGAGTTATTGATAGTTAGTGACTTAAGCCATATCAATTAATTTTTTTTATATATATATATATATATATAATTAAAGATTCATGATGAGAGTGTGTGAAAAGCATTGACAGTTAAAGAAATGAAGAATATAACTACCAATACTTAAAATTTCAGTTTTAATGATTAGAATTTTTAATTGTCGTATTCATGTTTTGATGATAATATTGCATTAATTTTTTGATTGATTGTAATAGTACTAGTAGTGAAATAAAGATTTTTCAAAATAATAGTTTTTTAAAAAAATTTTCTTGTTTTTCTTCGTCTAGCTGTAGTAATTATCAATCAGATGAATAAAGCGGATAGTGTAAATTTTACTAATTATATATCTCTACAGGCTGACTACCACAATTTAATAGGAATAACAGCAGATTTGGTTGAAGCTCTGGAATCAACAGTCCAAGGAAAACCAGTAAGACAAAACAGATTGTTCATACTCTAGTAAAAGAACAGTAAGACAAAAAATATGTGCCTAAATTTTTAGATTCAGTTCGTCTGTCCTGTATCAGGTGAAAGTTTTTGGTAAAGGTTGTTTATCATGAAGTTATGATCACGTCAACTTGAAACTTATTACACATGTCATTATGATGTAAACTTTTAAAATTATATGCCAAATAATGATTTTGACTCCAATTTCACAGAGTACTCTGAAAAGGTAAAATAATTAAGCAAGGAGGGGGGGGGGGGGGGGGGATGGTGTCCTAAAGGACACATGTAACATGTTTTTGTTGATATATCTTTTTCAATACTTACAGGGAGATATTTTATTACAGTATATTTGGCAAACTGAAATTAGATTTGCTTTTTGTGAAATAAGATGACTAAGTTATAAAATTATATCATAAATGATTTTCTTTTGTAGATTAATTTAAAATAAGAGGAAACAGATTATAAATTCTATTGCTTCATTTTTAAAGATCAACCATACATAATTTCATTCCAGATTTCTCCTGATTATCTCCAAGAGATTTGCTCTAGACTATTTAGTGGACATATGCAGAATTCAGTTGATTTCACACGACCTGGTACAGCTAGTCAAATGCTTCGTCAGTCAATGGCTCCAACGTAAGTTTTATTTACCTGCAATTGAGTTTGTAGTGATAGCTGTGTTTTGATTTTGTTTGTTTGTCCATCTGTCTACAACTCTTAATAAAGCAGTGACTACAATTCAATAAAACTTTCAAAAAATCTGTAGTATCTACTTTCAATTTGTATTTCCTATTTAAGATCATTGATCCAAATGATAAAAATACAAATGGCAGAGCAAGATTATGAATTTGTGAGTTCTAGTGAAGAGGAGGTTTGTTGTATTGAAGAGGAAGTTTGTGAGTTCTAGTGAAGAGGAGGTTTGTGAGTTCTAGTGAAGAGGAGGTTTGTTCTAGTGAAGAGGAAGTTTGTGAGTTCTTGTGAAGAGGAGGTTTGTGAGTTCTAGTGAAGAGAAGAGAAGGTTTGTGAGTTCTAGTGAAGAGAAGGTTTGTGAGTTCTAGTGAAGAGGAGGTTTGTGAGTTCTAGTGAAGAGGAGATTTGTGAGTTCTAGTGAAGAGGAGGTTTGTGAGTTCTTGTGAAGAAGAGGTTTGTGAGTTCTTGTGAAGAGGGTGGTTTGTGAGTTCTTGTGAAGAGGAGGTTTGTGAGTTCTAGTGAAGAGAAGGTTTGTGAGTTCTAGTGAAGAGAAGGTTTGTGAGTTCTAGTGAAGAGGGTGGTTTGTGAGTTCTTGTGAAGAGGAGGTTTGTGAGTTCTAGTGAAGAGGAGGTTTGTGAGTTTTTGTGAAGAGGAGGTTTGTGAGTTCTTTGTGAAGAGGAGGTTTGTGAGTTCTTGTGAAGAGGAAGTTCGTGAGTTCTAGTGAAGAGGAGGTTTGTGATCTCTGCAAAGAGGGAAGTTTGTACACACACACATTTTGTGCCTGTATCAAGTCAGGCTACTGGACCATTTGTTGTTTCTGTTTGTTTGAACATGTATTTTTTCAGAGGAGTCGGTGTTGGTAGTTGATGTGGTCTGTTGTACTGTCCAGTATTTTTGGTGATTACTGTTATCCTTTTTTTATGACAATTTTAGGGTGTATATTAAGCCTGATTATTCAGAAACATTTACTTCCTAGATTCCTAATGAAAGAAGCATGTTTTTTGTAATGCAGTTTATATTATTTGAAACTGATCACTGATAGTGAAAAAAGTAATCTTTCACAGAGAAATAAGTCATTAACAAGAAAGTGAAGCTTTATAAAAAAAATTGTAACCATTTGATTGCTTTGAATAGCTACCTGTTCAATACAAAGACTACAAATAAAACAGATACTGATGTAGAATGTACACAGATGTATAGAAGGATTATCTTTGGTGAATATTCTATGTCTTTACGATTAAAGTATAGAATAATTTCTTACCCTGTCTAATGTTAAGTCATAAGAAAAGTAAAGTAGTCATTTTTCAATTTATAAATAAATGTCAAATTTAAGTTTCACAATATTCATTTAAAATTTCTTCTGTCATTATTAGAAACAGACAATAGTTTGAATTAAATCCTGTAATATTTAGAAAAACATATATGTTTATTTAGAATATATGGTGTCAAAAAGTTTCCATGGGAGATAATTCAGTAGAACTAATCCCTCCTTTTTTAAAAAGATTGGACTAACACCAACTGGGCCCTGAAGCTTCATAAAAACATATGTTTAGCTTAAAGTACATTTTGCTGAATATTTATGAAAACTTGACAAACAATTAACATAAAAGAACACTAAAAAAGTTAATTAAGATGTTTTCAAAAGTAAGCATAAAATGTTCAAAGGAGAAAAAGTTTAAAATGGATAATGGGTTATTTCCCTTTTAAACTTCATGAACATTTTTTTTTTAGCTAAAAGTATATTTCTATGAGTATTTTCCAATTTAGTATATAGAGAACTCTGTTACTTGTAACTCACAATTTGGAAGCTTAACCAGTAATCCTTTGTACATATATATGCTTGTCACAAAAACTGTTAAAAAACATCCAAATTACTGAATTTTTACAGGAATTCTTTGTCAGTTAGTCAAATCTTGCGCATATCAATTGGTGCTTTGTAAGTTCTGCATGAGTAATATTTAGTAACCAAGACTCCATACAGAGATAATGGATGTTATTTTGTCAGTGATAATCTTTATCAGATTCAATTATATTTTTAGATTTGAAGAAAACTAATTCATTTGATGAAGTTTTAACTTATATTAAACTTAAATTTTCTTTCAGTAATAATTTTAGATTAAGAATTGTTTCTTTGTGATTTATCTCAAATTGAAAATTAATTTTGTAATGTTTATTAAAAACAAACACCATTAAAAATATATTATTGATGTTATTTTCATTGAAGAAATGAAATTTTATTGATCATAAAACTTTTACAAAAATGTTAAGCTGCCATTGCGTATATTGAAGTTTAATACTACGTTGACATAAATATTTGTCTTTAACATGATATTTTATTGACTTATGTGACAAATCAGAGATAAAGATTTATATCCATTGACAAATGATTATATCCATTTTCTCTGTTACTTCCACACATTTTTACACATATTTCATTTATACATATTGACCTTTCAAAGTTGCATTTACATAAATAAAAGCACATATTTTTTTACAATAAAATAATTGATATGATTAGTCTTTTAGATTTAAATTATTCTCTCTTTGATATTAGTATCTTGCTATAAAACTGCTGTACTTTTTCTCCATACACATGACACTTTTGCACAATATTCTTCAATTTTTATACGACCGCAAAAAAATTTTTGTGGTCGTATATTGGTATGACGTTGGCGTCGTCGTCGTCGTCGTCGTCCGAAGACACATTAGTTTTCGCACTCTAACTTTAGTTTGAGTGAATGGATCTCAATGAAATTTTACCATAAGGTTCAATACCACAAAAGGAAGGTGGGGATTGATTTTGGGGGTTATGGTACCAACATTTAAGGAATTAGGGGCCAAAAAGGGGCCAAAAATAAGCATTTTTGTAACTTCCAGACATAACTTGTGTGTAAGTGTATGGATCTCTCTGACATTGTACCACAAGGTTCCATATCACAAAGGGAATGCTGGGATTGATTTTGGGGGTAATTGCCTCCAAATTTTAGGAATTAGGGGCCAAAAAGGGGCAAAAAACAAGCATTTTTCTAGTTTCATGACAATAACTTGTGTGTAAGTCTATGGATCTCTCTGACATTGTACCACAAGGTTCCATATCACAAAGGGAATGCTGGGATTGATTTTGGGGGTAATTGCCTCCAAATTTTAGGAATTAGGGGCCAAAAAGGGGAAAAAAACAAGCATTTTTCTAGTTTCCAGACAATAACTTGTGTTTAAGTGTATGAATCTTTATGAAATTGTACTACAAGGTTCCATATCACAAAGGGAAAGCTGGAATTGAGTTTGGGGGTAATTGCCCAAAAAGTTTAGGAATAAGGGGCCAAAAAGGGGCCAAAAATAAGCATTTTTCTAGTTTCCAGACAATAACTTGTGTTCAAGTGTATGGATCTCTCTGAAATTGTACCGCAAGGTAGCATACCACAAAGGGAAGGCTGGGATTGATTTTGGGGGTAATTCCCTCAAAATTTTAGGAATTAGGGGCCATAAAAGGGCAAAAAATTTTACAAGCATTTTTTCTAGTTTCAGGACAATAACTTGTGTGTAAGTGTATGGATCTTTATGAAATTGTACTGCAAGGTTCCATATCACAAAGGGAAAGCTGGGTTTGAGTTTGGGGGTAATTGCCCTAAACGTTTAGGAATTTGGGGCCAAAAAGGGGCAAAAAAACAAGCATTTTTCTAGTTTCCAGACAATAACTTGTGTTCAAGTGTATGGATCGCTCTGAAATTGTACTGCAAGGTACCATACCACAAAGGGAAGGCTGGGATTGAGTTTGGGGGTGATGAATCATAAGGGGGTTCAAAAAATTGGTGGGGGGGATTTTTTTTCTTTAAAATTTTCCATTTTAAATTGGTTATTTCTGATTTATATATAAAAGCAAATAATAATGATATGCATACATGTGAACCTCCCAACGGGAGTACAATAATCCCGTTTTCAGGGGTCTCCTCCCGACCTCTCGTTGAAGAGAAAAAAATCCAGTGTATGAAATTTTTTCCCCAACATATCATCTCAGACATCTGGTGTAACTGACATTACCTGAAGTTATATTTTACATGTAAATCAATTAGCATGCATAATTATATGGCTTCACTTGTCAGCTTGGGTGTCAAACTTACTGGTAATCAACAATTTTTACCTCAGGCTAACTGCCGTTGTGTAATAAAAACTTTGTGTATTTATTGGGTTACTTCTCTTGATTTATCCTGTTTTAAGTTTCTTTCCTTTCAATAATGTAAATTTTTAAAAGAATATGAATAAAATATAAATTGAACAAATAATCATAAAAGGATGGTAATTAAATAATCATAAAAGGATGGTAATTAAATTATTTTAAACGTCTTAGGACAAATAAAAAAATAATAATTTGAAAATTATTTGAGGGTTCTATACTTCCTTTCAAGACTTAAATTGAAATTTATATAATAACTATGACCCTTGATTCCATACCTTATATATATATTTCTTAATATGCAAATATAAACTAATTGCAATTGCTGATAGATAAACAAATGTTCTGAATGCAATGATTGTTCTATAGAATAATGATATAAAAGATATGAATTAAAAAATTTAAAAAAGATAGAGAAACTTTATAATTACAAGGGTACTATAAACATAATACATTCGGATGGAAAGTTGAAGAATACACACTTTAAAAGACAATTTTTACAGCACACGGTTACATTTACGTCAAAATTTATGTCGACTAAAAACCTCCTGATCTGAGTCCTAATCTCCTGACCAAAATTTCCCAATCTTATGATCTGAGTTTCACAGTCCATCACATGTATGGATATGGTTTGAATAGGTAAATTAAAAATTTTTAAGTTCTTAGACCACTTTCATTCTGTGTCAGAAACCTATGCTGTGTCAAATATTTAATTACAATCCAAATTCAGTGCTGTATCAAGCTTGAATGTTGTGTCCATACTTGCCCCAACTGTTCAGGGTTCGACATCTGCGGTCGTATCAAGCTGCGCCCCAGCGGAGCATTTTATTGAACATATTTTGATTGATATAGAAATTAAGAAATACCGCTTCAGTTTTCATTACTGACATTAGTCCAGATAGGTCTCTTTGGTAATGTCATTATGTTGAATGTAGGACATTTTGTCATAGAAACTATTGAAATGATGCGAAGGCAAGAGCTAGCAATCCTACATTATGTCAGCAACATTAACATTTAGGCTTAGCCTGTGGTTAAAGTTTTTTAGAAATTGATGACTTTGACAAACCCTTATGTAATTTTATGAACCTTGGCGAGAAGCATTTTTATGATCAAAGGACAGTATTCAAAACAAAATTAAGAAAATGTTTAATTCAATTTTTCGTATTTAACCTGTAAACGGACTTAGTTAATTTTGCAGTTAACATTCAGATATTGCAGTGAACATTAAGATGCAGAATATTTGGGGTGAATAAGTCTTCATATACCCAAATGCAAGGGAAATAAATGTATAATGTAAAACAAGGTCACATGCAATTTCATGTCATGCCAACCCTTCCAAAGAAACATTATTTTACTGTTATCATCAGTATGTTTTGATTAACTTGTGTCTATATGTAGGAAAGCCAACCATATGCACATTGGATTTTGTTTTAGGAGTAATCTGCAAGAGCCTGAGACATATACTGCCTTAGATTATGAAAAAATCAAATATGAAATGGCCAATGCTGAAGTGAGAAGGAAGGTTTTACTTCTACAGGCTATAAGATGGGTATGGATACATTTACTGCTACATTACATTTATAGATATATTAACTGCTTCATATCATTTAATGATTTATTTACCATTACATTACATTTGTAGATACATTTGCTGTTACATTACATTTGTAGATACATTTACTGTTACATTACATTTGTAGATTCATTAACTGCTACATTACATTTGTAGATACATTTACTGTTACATTACATTTGTAGATACATTATCTGCTACATTACATTTGTAGATACATTTACTGTTACATTACATTTGTAGATACATTTACTGTTACATTACATTTGTAGATACAGATACATTTACTGTTACATTACATTTGTAGATACATTTACTGTTACATTACATTTATAGATACATTAACGGCTACATATCATTTAATGATTCATTTACTGTTACATTACATTTATAGATACATTTACTGTTGAAGATATATTTACTGTTTTGGATACATTTTTGTGGTTTTCTGTTTTGATATTTATCAAATGATTAAATGAGCTATATTGGAACTCCATTTCGTGATATTTTGTATAGATAGGTGAATTAAAATTTCTTAGTACAGTAATAGTAATACATTGTGCTAGATTAAAATAAGATCTTTAAATGATTATGACTTTTTTATAAAACAAAATAGAGGAAAAAATACATTACCATTCACATGACTCCATTGCTTCTTGTAGCAGCATATTTTACTATGCCAATACAGTCAACTCCACTTGATCACATATTGGTAATTATTGATAACATAATTTGGTAAATTGCATTATTTTCTCCTGCACAAAACCATTTGCTATTCATCTACTGTTTAACAATCTGGTTATCTGCATAGTCTTACAAGTAACCTTTAGGTCAATTGCATAGAAAATAATCACCAGCTAGATATGTTTGGTTAAAACTGATGATTTTTTTTTACCAGAAACAGCAATTTTGTAAGAATAAATTTCTTGAATGCATTCTTATTTTCGAAGTACTTTTTTGTAGAGGTTAACACAGTCAAATCCACAACAGAGAGACTCTTCTATGACTACTTACAGAGATAATGATTTGTTAGGCTGTTCTGTGGCTGGGACACACAGGGTAGGTATTAAGGTGTTCTTGGCTGGGACACACAGGGTAGGTATTAAGGTGTTCTTGGCTGGGACACACAGGGTAGGTATTGGGTTGTTCTGTGACTGGACACACAGGGTAGGTATTGGGCTGTTTTGTGGTTGGGACACACAGGATAGGTATTAAGGTTTGAGGCTGTTCTGTGGTTGAGACACACAGGGTAGGTATTAAGGTTTGAGGCTGTTCTGTGGTTGGGACACACAGGGTAGGTATTAAGGTTTGAGGCTGTTCTGTGGTTGAGACACACAGGGTAGGTATTAAGGTTTGAGGCTGTTCTGTGGTTGGGACACACAGGATAGGTATTAGGGTATTAGGCTGTTCGGTGGCTGGGATACACCACATAGGAGTTAGGCTGTTATGTGGCTGAGACACACAGGGTAGGTATTAAGGTTTGAGGCTGTTCTGTGGCTGGGACACACAGGGTAGGTATGAAGGTGAGAGGGAATTGCAACACTTTAACCCTAAACAGAGACAGACACAGGAATGACTGTGTAAAAAGACAAATATTTTATATATCTTTTTGTGGAACACATGTATTAAATGTTGTAAAGAGCAAAGATGAATGCAAGCAGATCAACAGCAGATGCTTGGCTTTGAATACTTATAGATGCACTTTGTAGATTTATAAATATTAATTGGTTTCTAATTTATGTCTATTAACTGAAGTATGATCTGAACTCTTTTAAATATTTTCTTGAAAATTCTTAAGAGAAATTGTATATTTGCAGAAGAACTTTTCACCTCCCCCCTCCAAAACAAAACCCCAAAAGCAAGAATAATGAAAATAGAATGTGTGGCCAACAAATTGTTATGAAATTTGCACACATGTAGCTTTGCATAATAAAACAAAATGTTACCTTATCCAAGCATCATTTGTGATGTGAAGGATAAGGTGCATTATATGAAGAAGCCTAAGGGCTTTGAGGGTTAATAAGTGAACCTTTACTTTATGTCAAGGCCGCACGCCTTTTTTTCACAGCTGAGTGATTTTTTGTCTGACCACTACTATATAAGCCCGTGCAGAGACGTGACCAGCCTCTTTTTTAAAAACCCAAACCGCTATGGGCATTTATTGGTCTTAATATTTATTTTTGGGACGGGCGTATTACTGAATATATAATTTGGGAGGGTACATATTAACCCTCGAAGCCCTTAGGCTTCTTCATATAATGCACCTTATCCTTCACATCACAAATGATGCTTGGATAAGGTAACATTATATATCATAATCCTGGTCTTGCTCAGGTTAATAAGTGAACTCTTTGTAGCTCCAATAAATGCAACTTCCAAAATATAATAAGAAATAAATGGAAATTAATAACCAACTGATCTCATGTACATTACCAGTAAAAACTTGAACAGAGATATAAACAAAGAAATTCACCAAATATAAATATCCAACACAAAACTGATTTGAAAATCAGTCAAATCGTTTTGACAAGTTTTGTTTTAAGACGAACAAGTCTTTGCTCTCCAGTCTTTATTCCACATACTTTGCAATTTTATCAAATACCAAAATTAAGTCTAATTAGACCCAGTATAAAGCAAATCTTTCACCTAAAAATTCTTGTAGCAATGCAGAAAAATTAAAATATATGATTAATTCTTTTAATCTTGTTGTGTATTAATATGCATCACATGTAAACACAATATAATTGGAAAACAAATATTATTTGATGTCCATCACTAGTTCATAAATCTTTAGTATGTCCATACACGCAACACGATATATAAATAACATCGCAAAAGTCCAGTCACTACTCCTTCACTATTAAGAATCAACATCTGAAATAATGGTTCCTCCATCTCCAATCTGTTAGTTCCTCAGACAGTACATCTCCTGATGCAGAAAAAACCCTGGAACTGTATCTCTAAGTCACTGTCAGCATCAACGTGATCAGGCTGTAAAAGTATGATTAAATACTGAATGAACATAATTTGAATTTGTATTGTCTACCTTGATATCCTTACAGTAAAACTTTTTGAAGGTCTGAGCTGTTTTCAGGATATCATTTAATGATATACCTGCTCTTTTAGCTGCAGAAGAGGAGGCAGATCTGTATGAATGAGCTTTAAATTTCAACACATTTATGCCTGCATTAGACAGTACCAATTTTAACCATCTGGCAATTGAACAGCTTGTTACAGCTTTTAAAGTTCTGAATGAAATGAACAATTTACTACTTTTTCTCAAGTCTTTAGTTCGGTGAATATAATGTTTTAAAGTTTCAACAGGACAAATTTCTTTTTTCTGAAAGACAGGAATAATAACATCTTGTCCTATGTTTTTTGGTCGTGTCGTCTTTAATAAAGTTGTGACACGAAAAATAAATGATGTGCCTGTACTGAGAACAGAGTTTAAATTAAGACTTGCAAGTGTTTGTGATCTTTGAGCAGATGCTAGAGCAATTAAAGCAACACATTTTAGAGTTAACATTTTTAAATCCAAATCCTGTAACGGGTACAGAGATTCTAAATAGCTCAATACTTTGCCAACATCCCAAGTAAACAAATATCTTGGTCTTGGTGGTCTTAGATTAAACACACCCTTCAAAAATCTTTGAATATAACTGTTATTTCAAAAGATAAGTTACCCAATAAAGTCAGTGTCTGACATATTGGTGATTGACTATTTATACAGCTATAAGATCGTCCTTTTTGAAATAAAATGGACAGATAATCTAAGAGTAACTTTACAGATGGAGAAGTGGGACTAGTTTGTCTTGAATTACACCACAAAACCCAGCTTCTCCAAGAGTATTCATACTGAACATTGGTTGACTTTCTCCAAGATTTAAGAAAGATTTTTGTAGTTTTGTCTGAAAAACCTTGATTAAGGAGATGTTTCCTGAAACAAGACAGGCGATAAGAAACATTTTTCTTGTGTTCATTGTATGACTTTGATTGTTGTGTGCTAGAGTTAGCAAGTTTGACAACTGAGGCAATTTTACAGGAAAATCTGTTAATGCTTTCAATAACTTTGGATACCATAACTGAGTTGTCCATACAGGGACGATTAAACCTGCTTACCTGATCGTCTTCTATCTTTTGAAGTACTCTGCTGATTTGACTGAAAGGAGGAAATATATAAGGATATAATTTATGCCATGAAAATGAAAAAGCATCAGTTGCATAAGCATCAGGATCTGGAAACCAGCTTACAAAATTATTCAATTGTTTATTTAGCCTTGAGGCAAACAAATCTGTATCTGGTATGAAAAAATGTTTGGTTACTTCATTAAAAACTGATTCATTGAGTTTCCACTCTGAAGTGTCATTAAAGTTTCTTGATAAATTATCTGGTATAATATTTTCTTTCCCTGGAATATGAACAGCAGATAGTAAAACTTTGTTTTTTATACACCAATACCATATTTGTTTTGTTATTTCTAATAAAGGTAAAACTGATCCTCCTTGATTATTTATATAGTTTACAGCAGTGGAACTATCTGATTTTACACAAATATGTGTTCTTTCTGCGTGACATCAAAGTGATATTATGCTAAAATAGATAGCTTTTAATTCTAAAATATTAATGTGTAAACACTGCTCTTCCAAACTCCAATGACCTTGAGTTTGCTTTCCATGAAAAACAGCTCCCCAACCATTGAGGGAGGCATCTGTATGTAAATAATAACTTGGGGAATCATTTCTAATAGGTCTCCCATTAACTGTTTTAACATTTTCTAACCACCAAACTATTTCAGATTTGCCTTCTACTGAGATATTCAAAAATGAATTGAAATTATTATTTGATGTATGTAAAGCTCGTGTTTTGTCTAAATCTAAATATCTATGAAACAAGTGAGCATATTGTACTGCATAATGTGCAGATGAATAAAGTCCTGTTAATTGTGCTAGACTTCTAATTGATACTTTGTGAGCTTTAAGCATTTTCTTTGATAGTTCAATTATTTTCTGTACTTTCTCCTCTGGTAAAAATACCTTAAATATAATAATGGTAATACAATTTACTGAATCTATAATATATATCCCAAAAATATAATTCTATTGGTTGGAATAAAAACTGATTTTTCAATATTGATGTCAAACCCAACTGACTCTAAGTTTTAACCCTTTCTGTATTTTGGATTGCCAAATCAAAGTTTTCTGCTTGCAACAGGGAATCATCAATGTAAAAATATGAATCAATACCCATGCTCCGAATATGTGAAAATATTACTTTCAGTATTTTTGTAAATACTCTTGGAGCAGAAGCAATACCGAATGGTAGACATTGAAATTCATATAATTTTTCATTCCATATGAATTTTAAATATTTTCTGTCTGATTCATAGATTGAAATGGAAAAATATGCATCTGTCAAATCCAAAGATGTAAAAAAGCTATTTTTAGAAATTCCTTTTAAAATCAAATCTAGCGTTTCTTGTTTAAAATGGTGATAGCTAATAAATTGATTCAATGGTTTCAAATTAATGGCTGGCCTAAATTTTCCATTTTTCTTTTTTACTAGAAATATATTTGAAATATTTTTACTAGAAATATATTTGAAATAAACTGTTCTGATTCATCAAAAGATTCTTTGATAGCACCTTTCTCAAGCATATCAACTATTTCTTTGTCAATAAGGGCCTTTTCCTTATTGTTAAATTTTATAGGAAATGGAATTTTTTCCTGAATTGGCTTTCTATCAAATTCTATCTTATATCCCTTAATTGCAGAAATAATCCAATTGTCTTTGGTTAAATATTTCCAATTTGAAATAAAATTTTTCAGTTTACCCGACTTTGTTTTAATATTTATACTTTTATTTCTCACCTTTAAAATCTTCTTTTCTGATTGAAGGTGTTGGGTCTGTTTCCTCTCAATTGACCCCGTGGGTTCTGATAACTTTGTCTTGGCTGATAGCCCCTTCTGCCTAAAAAAACGGCTTCTTCCCCTGAAACTTCCTCTGTAATTTGAATTTCTACTATAGCTACTAGTAATGTTCTTGTTTATTTTGTTAATTTCATTGATATCTTTCAATCACTTGCCAACTTCATCTCCAAAAAGGCTAGAACCTACATCTTCATTGCGATTGCAAAGTTGGTGGTATTTCTTGTCTATGTGTGGCTTTAAAGACATCCGTCTTTTAATTGATAGCTCAAAGTGAGTATTGCTTAAAATTGCCAAAGCTTTAGAAATGTTTTCTCTCATTAGTTTTACATCTGGAGTTTTGGATTTCAGAATTTCAGCCACTCTTATCAATGGTACCATACAACAACCCAGCGATTTTTGTATAGTTTGCTGATTCAAATCAGCAGTTTTAGCTTTTCTTTCAAGGAATTGCCATATCTCAGCATTAACTGGGGGTGCTACCAGACTTTTACAATTTACAGGTATCTTCATCTCTCTCGTCATTACTGACACATCAGATTTCTTTTTACAAATATTGTCAAATACTTTAGCCAATGATTGGCTTACCTCTTCATCGTATTTTTCATCATCTTCAAAAATCTTAGGTAGTTCATAATCAAATTCATCATCTGATGCAACAACTTGAGGTTCATTCTCTTCATCATAAAAAATATTGTAATTGGTGTCAATCGCCTGCTCGTCGGCTACAGACTCATTCTCACAAAATTCCATGTCAATATTACTACTTGGTCTTTGTGACTTTTCATTATTCTGACTCAATGTGGATACCAGAGTATCCGACAAACCTTTAAATAGAGTTTTAAGTAACTCTGACTGGTCAAGCTGATTCTTTGCAGTATTTTTCTTTACTGTGCCTGTGGTTGTGCGAGGTTTCGTAGACGTAACCTTCGTAACTTTACCACGTTTTTTAATCGGACTTACTGTTATTCCTCTCCCTGATGGCAACTCGTTGTCCATCTCAGTCACCTGCCTTTTAGGTGTTTTTTGCTTGCTTGCTAAAGCCTTGCCTTTTGTAGAGCTTGTACTCTTCTTACCTTTCATTACTCAATTTTTAGTCTGTTGTTGTTTTTGTGTTTTTGCCATTCGGATGTCCTCGGCAATTAATATTTGTGCTTCCAGGTTATCCAACTCAGGGTCATTAATGTTCTCAACTTGAGAAAAACCAGAAAATGAAGCATCAACTTCTTCGTCTGACGCAAATAATTTTAGTATTTCATTGTCATTGTCATTACTGTCACTGTCGCTTAAACGCGATGTACAGCGCGACATAATTTCTGTATAAACAGCTGACAGATTCTGCCAAGTTTTGAAATTTATTTTCAATATTTCCGATTCGGATAAATTATTTTACAACAGAGTCTGTTGTAAAACTTTTATTTCGTGTTTAATCGAGTCGACTTAACCATGTGCGGCCTTTTAAAAAAGAGGCTGGTCACGTCTCTGCACGGGCTTATGTAGTAGTGGTCAGACAAAAAATCACTCAGCTGTGAAAAAAGGCGTGCGGCCTTGACATAAAGTAAAGGTTCACTTATTAACCTGAGCAAGCCCAGGATTATGATATATAATGACTACTTTTGTGAATAAGTTTTGACATTTTGCTTTCTGTACAACTTATTATGTTATATAATGAAATACATGTTATTTTTAAAGGATGCAGTGCTTGCCTTATTGACATCTAGTGATGAACTTGTAAAAGAAGGAGCTGCCAGATTATTTAATGCTTTTGCTTCTCTTTGTGCAGGTAATGTTTTCTGTCATCTATTGTAAACAACTAATTGAGGAATAATGATACTGTTATTCCTTTTCTAATTTTATACTCTCAAAATGTTCAAATATACAGTAAAAGTTGACTGCTATTGTTGCTAATGACTACAACCATCAACCATGGAATTGATGGCAGACCTTATCCAATCAAAGTTGGCGATACTAGGCTTGTTGGATTAGTATTGTCATTATACGACCGCAAAAAAAATTTTGTGGTCGTATATTGGTATGACGTTGGTGTCGTCGTCGTCGTCGTCGTCGTCATCGTCGTCCGGCGTCGTCATCGTCGTCAGGCGTCGTCGTCCGGCGTCGTCGTCCGAATACGCATTAGTTTTCGCACTCTAACTTTAGTTTAAGTGAATGGATCTCTATGAAATTTTACCATAAGGTTCAATACAACAAAAGGAAGGTGGGGATTGATTTTGGGGGTTATGGTACCAACAGTTAAGGAATTAGGGGCCAAAAAGGGGCCAAAAATAAGCATTTTCTAGTTTCCAGACAATAACTGTGGAACGGTGTATGGATCTCTCTGAAATTATACTACAAGTTTCCATACCACAAAGGGATGGTTAGGATTTGCTTTGGGGGGTTATAGCTCAAACCGTTTAAGAATTAGGGGCAAAAAAGGGGGAAAAACAAGGTTGTCCTGGTTAATGGACAAATACTTTAGTACAAAACATAATTTAAAGCAGTGTAAGGGAGATAAATCAAATACATCATTGAAATTATCTCCCTTACACTGCTTTTAAATTATGTATAAAGTAATGGTTAATGAACAATTAAGATGATTTAAAACAGTGTAAGGGAGGTAATCCAAATACAACGTTTTGGTTACTTCCCTTACACTGCTTTTAAATTATGTTTAAAGAAATGCATATTTATAAAGGAAGACCAGTAAAAATATCTGCAAATGTTGCATCTTTTTTTTTTACAAAAAAATCCATATGAAAGATTTGACACTATATTTTAAATTCTATTATAAAATAGATTAAGTTAGCACTATGGTAAATTTAAATGGGTAATTATGGTTTCGGGGAAAAAAGGGGGGGGGTAAAAGGAAATTGTGGGGGGTCAATTTTTTCTCATTTCAGATTTCAGAAATTAAAAAGAATTATTCTTCAAATATTATTTTTTTTTCAAATTTCAAATATTGAAAAATTTCAAGAAGTCATCTTTAATTGCACAGTATGGCGCATTAGATTTGTAAAATCTTTGACCACATTTATTAATTTGTTATGCCGAATCTAACCATGTATTTAGATTTTTAATTTTGGATCCAGTTTTCAAATTGGTCTACATTAAGGTCCAAAGGGTCCAGTTTTCAAATTGGTCTACATTAAGGTCCAAAGGGTCCAAAGTTAAACTTTGTTTGATTTTAACAAAAATTGAATATATGGGGTTCTTTGATATGCTGAATCTAAACATGTATTTAGATTTTTGATTTTTGGCCCAGTTTTCAAGTTGGTCCAAATTGGGGTCCAAAATTAAACTTTGTTTGATTTCAACAAAAATTGAATATATGGGGTTCTTTGATATGCTGAATCTAACCATGTATTTAGATTTTTTATTTGTGGACCCCGCTATCAAATTGGTTCATATTGAGGTCAAAAGGGTCCAAAATTAAACTTTGTTTGATTTCATCAAAAATTGAATTATTGGGGTTCTTTGATATGCCAAATCTAACCGTGTATTTAGATTTTTAATTTTGGGTCCTGTTATTTAAATTGGTCTACATTAAGGTCCAAAGGGTCCAAAATTAAACTTAGTTTGATTTTAACAAAAATTGAATTCTTGGGGTTCTTTGATATGCTGAATCTAAACATGTGTTTAGATTTTTGATAATGGGCCCAGTTTTCAAGTTGGTTCAAGATAAAACTTTGTTTGATTTCAACAAAAATTGAATATATGGGGTTCTTTGATATGCTGAATCTAAACATGTATTTAGATTTTAGATTTTTGGCCCAGTTTTCAAGTTGGTCCAAACTGGGGTCCAAAATTAAACTTTGTCTGATTTCAACAAAAATTGAATATATGGGGTTCTTTGATATGCTGAATCTTACCATGTATTTAGATTTTTTATTTGTGGGCCCGCTATCAAATTGGTTCATATTGAGGTCAAAAGGGTCCAAAATTAAACTTTGTTTGATTTCATCAAAAATTTAATTATTGGGGTTCTTTGATATGCCAAATCTAACCGTGTATTTAGATTTTTAATTTTGGGTCCCGTTTTTTAAATTGGTCTACATTAAGGTCCAAAGGGTTCAAAATTAAACTTAGTTTGATTTTAACAAAAATTGAATTTTTGGGGTTCTTTGATATGCTGAATCTAAACATGTGTTTAGATTTTTGATTATGGGCCCAGTTTTCAAGTTGGTCCAAGTTGGGGTCCAAAATTAAACTTTGTTTGATTTCAACAAAAATTGAATATATGGGGTTCTTTGATATGCTGAATCTAAACATGTATTTAGATTTTAGATTTTTGGCCCAGTTTTCAAGTTGGTCCAAATTGGGGTCCAAAATTAAACTTTGTTTGATTTCAACAAAAATTGAATATATGGGGTTCTTTGATATGCTGAATCTTACCATGTATTTAGATTTTTTATTTGTGGGCCCGCTATCAAATTGGTTCATATTGAGGTCAAAAGGGTCCAAAATTAAACTTTGTTTGATTTCATCAAAAATTGAATTATTGGGGTTCTTTGATATGCCAAATCTAACCGTGTTTTTAGATTTTTAATTTTGGGTCCCGTTTTTTAAATTGGTCTACATTAAGGTCCAAAGGGTCCAAAATTAAACTTAGTTTGATTTTAACAAAAATTGAATTCTTGGGGTACTTTGATATGCTGAATCTAAACATGTGTTTAGATTTTTGATTATGGGACCAGTTTTCAAGTTTGTCCAAGTTGGGGTCCAAAATTAAACTTTGTTTGATTTCAACAAAAATTGAATATATGGGGTTCTTTGATATGCTGAATCTAACCATGTATTTTGATTTTGGACATTGGACCATAATAGGTAAATTAAAAAAATTGAAGTTCTTAGACCACATTCTTTCTGTGTCAGAAACCTATGCTGTGTCAAATATTTAATCACAATCCAAATTCAGAGCTGTATCAAGCTTGAATGTTGTGTCCATACTTGCCCCAACTGTTCAGGGTGCGACCTCTGCGGTCGTATCAAGCTGCGCCCAGCGAAGCATTTTATTTTAATTATATATTCAAAAAGTGTAATCAGTTTATATAGACACATAAGGGAACTCCAATTCTGTAAATTCAAAAATCTATTTTACTGACATTTATTGTTCATGAGGGATTTTTTTTCCATTGAAAAATCTTGAATATTAATCACCAGCTAGTATGTTTTGAAGAAGGTTATGGTTTGAATCTGTATTTTTCTTTTCAATGATTTAGGTAGAACCTATCTTGCCCAGAACCAAGATTTATTCAAAACTTTGTTAGATAATTTACGAGGTGAAGAAAAAGAATCAGTCACAAGAGAAATGGTACTTGGAGCTTTACAGAAACTCTCTTTAAGGTATGAGAAAGTCTTAGATCATTGTCTTAATTTTTTAGATATTTATACATTGTACCACGGTATATACTATTTTATCATGTAAATTCCTCTTTTTTTTATATTTATTGCTGTAAATGACTTGCCATTAATTAAAACTGACATTTTAAACTCTGAATACATAGTTTGTATGCAATATTTTTGGATATAATAATCTTGCATTTTTGGAATCATAATCCTCAGAAACAAATCCACACAAAATTTCTAAATCTACATTTGTTAAAAAATAAAAATAAACAGAACCATTTTGGATGTAATGTATATGATGAAAGTTTTTATTAAGAATGATGCAATACATCTTGCTTAAAATGAACTTTTTCATTTTCACATCATAGGAGAAACTTACAGACAGCCATGATAGAAGCAGGTTTAATAGAATGGCTGGTAAAGGTTCTTGAAGACAACGATTCTTTATCTGATTACACGCTGGAGTACTCTGTTGCTTTGTTAATGAATCTCTGTCTCAGGACCTCTGGGAAAAAACGCTGCGTCCAAAATGCTGACCAGACTTTAAAAGTCCTTAGTGATTTACTAGGGCATGAAAATCAAGAAATCCGTCCCTATGTCAATGGTGCCTTATACAGCATTTTAGCTGTTCCGTCCATCAGAGATGAAGCTAAGGCAATGGGAATGGAAGAAATTCTCCGTTGTTTTATTAAAGAGGACCAGCCTGATATGAATAGACAGATAGAATTTATAATCAAGCAGCTGAATTCAATAGAGACCGTGGATGAATATGATTCTGATGATGAGGAAGAGGAGGAAGAAGAGGTAAGGTCAAAGGTCAAAGTTTTATCAGTAAAGTCATTTTCAGATCATTTCCGGGAAACTAAGGCTGACTAATTTTAGTGATTATGTGCATTACACATTTAAATGCTATCTATTTTTTTTCTCATGAAAAAAGGAACTGAAAGTGTTTATGACTTATTCCCATCTCTTAACTATTTTATTAAAATTACATCATGGCAAAAATAAGACAAGTGGCAAATTACATGTTTACATTTAAAAGAAACTGCTGTAAATTCAGAGAGTTTTTTTGTATGCCAATAATACAACTGGGAGAGTATCACAATAATAAGAACTTACATTCTAATATTTGATACATACATTTGTATGCAGCAATAATTTATTTCACATTTTATGTCCATTCTTCAAAAATTGCAACAATAAAGGCATGCAATAAATTCTGAATTTACAATATTTGCTTTACGTTATGTCTGTTACAGCTGTTGTCAACATGCTGTTTGTTATTCCACGTAAAGAAAACCCAGTTTTTAATATAAAGATAAAATGAGAAAACTATCCTCCAGAGATCATATGAAGTGGATATAAGCAATAGCGATTACTGTAATGTAACACACTACATGTTAAAGTGTCTGTACAAGGAACCATTACAGTGACTGTTAATGTATTTTTGATATTTAAGTGATTTTTTTCTGTTAAGAATGCTGTGTTTATGGCAGAGTGATATTTAGTGTGAATTAACAGAATGTAGTAAATGACACAACAAAATTAAAAAAAAAAATCTTTCAATTGTATATATAGTTTGAAACCTGAATATAATCATTTATAGGAAGATCAAGATGCCATGGAACTGGACATAGACAAAGATGAATCATTTAAACCAGAAGATAACGAAATGTCTGGAGAAAAACTACTGACCACAGAATATCTAGCAGCAAAAACTGGACCAATCAGACACAAGAAAAAGGTAAAACTAATAGTTTATGAAGAAGAACAATCAATTCCATATTTTTTGTCAAATGTTACTGCTCCCTTTTTTTTCACTTTAATATTAAACTAGTTGCACTTTATTTTAGCATACAGATTTAGTAATGGCCAATGAGTTATTACAAAGACCTGTTACACCTAGTCAAAGAAGAGCTGAAAATCAACCATCAGGAACACAGTATGTATATTAACAACAGATTTGATTAAGTTAAACCTTTTCTTCTCCGAGTCAGGTTTGTTGTTTTATCCAGTGTCTCGCTCTTTTTATTCAACTTCACATACACACTATGGTTTGTATGTATGTGTAAACTTTGTAAGTTTTGTAATTAATTGCACTAGGCTTTTTTTCGTATTACTGACTTAAATACAGAGTATATAACTTGTTTGACATGTTACCTACTCTGTGGTAGGACATTCTGGTACTCGGTCAAGTAAGAGCTACTGAAAGAAGTAAAATCAAACTTAATATCAGTGCAATTTAGGGGAAAAAATTATCTGTTTTGCAATGATTTTTTTTTTGTGTATTAAAACATAAAATTGATTTATAAGATTTGAAGCATACATGAATAAAATCACCCTTCAAACATCATGCTTACTGCCCATCTTTTATCCTTTTTAATGTGAAACTAGACCTTTATACTTTGATAGTTTCCCCAATTTCATGTATTTAAACAGAAATTAAATGAAAGAAAGGAGTTCAAGTGTATTTACAAAGATTAACAGCCGAGCAAAACATAGCAGAAAGTAAAATAACAAAATTACTGAACTCCAAGGAAAATTCAAAATGGAAAGTCCCTTATTAAGATGTCCAACCTTAGGAGAAACAACTTGCATACCATTTTTCAAAGACTTGTGTTTTTGCCTTTTTGAAAGTTGCCATCATTGGCTAATTTTGCAGTCATTGCTATAAACGATATTGTGTTTCATAATATGATTAAACTGAGGTGACAATTTCCCTCTGATTCTGTCTGAATTTGGGTTTATTTCAAGACAGAATGCAGCTTACCAGAATGGATTTCAGTTTCTTGTGCTTTTATGTAAAATTAATCCCTTTATTAGCTCTTGTTTGAGTTCCAATTCTTATTGTTAATATTTACTATTTAGGCCAATGACACCTGTGGTGACCAGCCGACCTCCATCCCAGAGTAGTGTAATGAGACCACCAACAAGAAGTGGGAGTCGACCCAATACACAAGATAGTCAGAGAGACACAGCTAGTAAGAAATTTGCATACAATTTTAAGTTTTTTAACCAGGAAGTATAATGTAAGCATGTGCTAGGTTTAAATTGAGATATGACATAAGGCTTGAAACACAGCCATTTCACAGTGCATTTCTTTTACACAATAATTAAATTTAAAAAAATGACACCTTCACTTTCTCAATAAATTTTTACAGTGAAGTGTACTACTTTTGGGACAAATTATATCAAAAGTATAGAAAACTTCATCAGCTCTAACTTAAAAATATTAACAGTTTTATGTTTATGGTGTCTTGAATTCACTTTGACAGCTTTAGACATACGCATTTTTGAGTTTTTTCAACTGGACCAAATCCATGCTTTACCTCAATATTCATGACCTAAATTATTTTACTGTGTAATTTCATCCCACTAGTGGCTATTCTATGCATAAAACATGGTGAAATAAATTAGAAAGGTGTATAAAACTGAAGTAATACACTGTCCACACCAAGGACTATATACTAATCATTCTCCACTTTATAATTGCCACATTGATATTTGATTTATTTTTAGCTCTTTTTCATTATTCAGGATTGTAATTTAAGTCTCTTAGAAAACCATCATTTTTCATACTGTAAATTCAGAATTTATTGCGTGCATTAATTATTGCGATTTTGTGATTTTAGACTAAAATGCGATTTTAATTTTTGCGATATTGAGAAAAATCATGTTTAATTCATATAAAAAATTTCAAATTGCGTGTTTAAATTATTGCGATTATAACCCTGTCGCATTTTTCGCAATAATAAAAACCTCGCAATAATTTCTGAATTTACAGTATTCTAGATTTATATTCTATGGTAACATTAGTGCAGAACACACAATACCAATCAAAAAGTAAAATCACAAAAATACCAAACTCTGAGGAAAATTCAAAACGGAAAGTCCCTTAGCAAATGGCAAAATCAATAGCTGAAACACATCAAATGAATGGATACCAACTGTCATATTCCTGACTTGGTACAGGCATTTTCTTATGTAGAAAATGGTGGATTAAACCTGGTTTTATAGCTAGCTAAACTCTCACTTGTATGACAGTCACATAAAATTCCATTAAATAACACTTCAACTCACATTTGGGTTTTGGAAGGTATCTTTTGTAATCAAACAACTATTTTGTTTGTTTGTCATCTGTTTATAATTGCCAGGGTTTTGCTATACTTTTGGTTCCTTATATAGCTCTCAATGACTCTCAATGTCATTTTGAATTTACAAATGTTTTAGCCTTGAGCATTACTGAACTTGAAGTGACATAATTTGTCACAATACACATCTTGTGCAATAAAACTGGTACAGTTGTCAAGGTATATTTGTTCTGCCTAACAGAAGTTCCCCTGGAAACTTTGTTATCAACAATGCCATAATATCTGTTCCTGTTGGAACAAATATTCTATACCCTTTATTCCGCAAGGGACAAATTCTGTAATATTTGTTCCAGTGAAAATATTATTACAGAATATTTCTTCAACTTGGAACTTGTATTACGAAGGAACTTCTATTGCATGACACTGTATAATATTATAAACACAGGAATACACATTAAACAAGATTTTTTTTGTATGGGCTAATCTTGTTTGAACTTAACAGTAGATTCACTTTTTGTATATAGCTGATAAACATTTTTAACTTTTATAGGAACAGAAGATGGCAGGCCAACTAGTAAGAGCAGCCAAAGGTCAACAGGAAGTAAAAGTTCTTTGAAAGCACCAAGTATTGCTGAGTAAGTTCATTTCAAGTCCATTATATTCATAGTACTTATAGTCACATAGAATTATCCAGGAGAAATCACTACCGATATTTAAAGTTAAGTGTAGAGATCCTCCACACTGAATTTTATAGATCAGTCCTATTCTCTCCTTTGTGTTTGAAATTATTGCTCTTAATTTCTAAGTTCAACCAAAGAACTTTAATAAAAGATTATCTATGAAGGGTGTGGTACATTCTGACTTTTAGTATTTGTTGTCATCTAATAGAAAAGAAAGGATATGAGGTATACATCCATGACACAAAACCAGTATGTGCACAGCAAAAAACACAAAAAGCAAAGGAACAGCGCTTTGATTGCTGTTCTTCATCTCAAAGTCACAGTGAGGCCTTCAACACAGAGCCAAAAAACTCGCACCTCACTGCAAGTTTAAGACAGCCCTAGCACCGGTTTGAGCGGAATTATCTGTCATTTTCCATACAGATATTAATCTTAGTCTTGCAGACACACTTATCTGTGGAGTATCTGGTATTCATCACTTTCTTGCATCAATCTGTTCTTTACACTTTGGTAAATATTATTTATTCATTTTCAAAGTTTTGAACATTGATTTATCTCCCTTTAGACACCCAGAATACAAACAAGCCTTTGGATCTAAGCCAAGGATTCTTAGAACTCCACATGGAAGGGAAGGCACACCATCTAATCCAGGAACACCACATCTCAGGACCCCAGATAGTTCAAGGAGGCCCACCAGCAGAGGATCAGTTGGTAGTCTACCTCCACAGCCACAGTACTCTGAGTCAGGACCAAGACCAAGTTCTGCTGGAAAGTCTGGTAAGGAACATGAAATTACATAAATACAGTGAAACCTGTCAAAATCAGACCCTTTGTTAACTGGAAACCAGTTTTCATACCCTTTGTTAACTTGTTTATTTAGTTTGTCGAAACTGTGCTCTATGATTCCTAGGCCTAAATGATATCAAGACCATTTTGTCAACTTTCACCAAAATCTTTATTTTTGGCATATTTGGGGTTTAAATCTCAAGGCTTTTTTTTTATAAGAAAAGCTGGACAAAAGTAGTTCTATTTATCATTTACATGTTTTATATTCATTAACTTGCAGCACTTGAATCAAGAGACTTAGAATTCCTGGCCAGATAGGGCTCTTACCAAACTTACTACTTTGTAACATTGCCTGACTGGTCTTTTATTTGGTAGGACCTTAATCTATAAAGTCATTTTTAACTATTGTCTATTCTGTTTATTTATTTTTGAGGATCATGATCGTAATAAGTATGTTCTACTGGCTAATTATTTATTTGTTAGTTCCATAATAATAAATTTGTACTGTACATACCAGGTCTGTTTAAGTATTTGCTAAGGACCCTAATTTTAATAAGTTTTTATACGCCCGTTTACGGGACGTATTATGGTATACCGTTGTCTGTCCGTCCGTCGTCAACATGTCGGACAGTAACTCAAAAACGCTTTAACCAATTTGCATGAAACTTTGGTGAATTGTTTATATCTATTGATGTGAGCTCCCTTTCGATTTTTATAAATTTTAGATTTTACGTTTCCGAGTTATCAGGTTTTATTCATTAAAAAAGGGGGGATTTTCCAGATTTCGGACAATAACTCAAAACACTATCACCAATTTGCAAGAAACTTTGGTGAATTGCTTATATCTTTTGATGTGAGCTCCCTTTTGATTTTAATGAATTTTAGATTTTACATTTCCAAGTTATGGGGTTTTATTCATTAAAAAAAGGAGATTTTCCAGTATTCGGACACTAAATCAAAAATGCTTTCAGCAGTTTTCATGAAACTTTGGTGAATTGTTTATATCTATTGATATTAGCTCCCTTTCCATTTTTTTATAAATTTTAGATTTTACGTTTCCAAGTTATGGGATTTTATTCATAAAAAGGGGGTGATTTTCCAGTTTTCGAACAATAACTCATTGTGCTTTGAGCAGTTTTCATGAAACTTTGGTGAGTGGTTTACATCTATCAAAATAACCTCCCTTTAGTTTTTTTATAAATTTCTGATATGACTTTAAGAAGTTATTGAACTTTATTCTTTGAAAAAGCGACAGGCGTATCATGTGCTCATGGCACAGCTATTTATTACTATTGTCTAACTGGTGTATTTATTTGTTAGGACCCTAATTTTAGTAAGTTTTGACTATGACCTTACTGGTGTATTAATTTATCAGGACCCTAATTTTAGTAAGTTTTGACTATGACCTTACTGGTGTATTAATTTATCAGGACCCTAATTTTAGTAAGTTTTGACTATGACCTTACTGGTGTATTAATATATCAGGACCCTAATTTTAGTAAGTTTTGACTATGACCTTACTGGTGTATTAATATATCAGGACCCTAATTTTAGTAAGTTTTGACTATGACCTTACTGGTGTATTAATTTATCAGGACCCTAATTTTAGTAAGTTTTGACTATGACCTTACTGGTGTATTAATTTATCAGGACCCTAATTTTAGTAAGTTTTTACTATTACCTACCGGTAACTGGTCTATTTATTTGTCTGGACCCTAATTTTGATTAGTTTTTACTATTGCCTAACTGGTGTATTTATTTGTTAGGACTGTAATGTTGGTAAGTTTTTACTATTGCCTAACTGGTGTATTTATTTGTTAGGACCGTAATGTTGGTAAGTTTGTTGAATTGTTGTAGGTTTGTGTATCTGGTGTTTTAATCCTATCACTTCTTAGGTAATATCTATTAATATTGAGCATCATTTTGTTGAGAGACCTTTTTTTCTTCTTCAAAATTTTATAAAAACAATCCCCTTTACAGATAATAAAGCATCAAGGATAATATTTCCAAAATGTTGTCACAACACCAACTTAAAACATTCCAAATAATAGATATTCAACTTTAGCTTTAATATTATATTCATTTTTGTGCACAAAAAAGAAACTACCAATAGTTCTTTAGATAATGAAATGATGAATTTACTCACATTATTTTGAAACTTTTTTTGTTTTATAACTTTCTAACTTACCCTCTGACAAAAGACCCACTTTTGTATTAATCTGTATTAAACCAAAACTAGTCTACATGAAATATAATTGCTTGGCAAAAATCATAGATTTTTAGATTGATTTAAAGGTAAAACTGAATGAAATGGTGCTCAGTGTAACAGCTTAAAGTTCACTTTTTATTTTTAATTTTGAAGTTTAATTTCCTTTTTTCTGATTGATTATTACTATTAACTTATTTTGTCATCACTTATATGTATATGAAAAACACAATATTAATTAATGTTAGGCAAATAGCAGACCAAAATGACTTTTTGTTTGGAAGAATTCACACATAGGAATGCTTATTCAGCCAGGGCGGTAGTAAACAATTTGTTCAATGAATAATGTAGTAAGAAATCTATGGTAATAAAAAAAGTAATAACTTAATAATACTGATAAAAGAGAACTGAAAGATACCAAATTAAAGGGACATTGAAACCCAAGTATAAAACAAACTGACAACACCATGGCAAAAAATGAAAAAAGACAATCAACAGTATACAAAACACAGCATTAAAAAATAAAGACTGATACTGATTAATGTGTGCAAACTATGATGCATCACAGAAGATTTGACTAGCCTGCAATTTCACTGAAGAAAATAATGAATTACATGTATTTTGAGGTCACTGATGAAAGTCATAGGTTAGGACAATTTTTGTCTCACTTGACGGAGTCAAAGAGCAAGACATAGGTATGCTGTTGTCGGAGGTTGCGGCGGCAGCGGTGTCAACAATGTATTAGTTTGTGATTAGGTCTAGTTTATGGTGAATCACAAGTGGTAGGTCAATCATATTTGGTATGCAGTTGTATTAGCATTGGCACATCTCATTTCCATGGAGATTATTTGGCCCTGCTCCCTCAGTCATGGTCTATTGACTTTGAAACTTTTGCTTAGTTTACATGTATTAGTTTGTGATTAGGTCAGTTTATGGGGAACCACTGGTGGTAGGTCAATGATATTTGGTATGCAGTTGTATTAGCATTGGCATATCTCATATCCATGGAGATTATTTGGCTCCACGCCCTTAGTCATGGTCTATTGACTTTGAAAATTTTGCTTAGTTAACATGTATTATTGAGTGATTAGGTCAGTTCAAGGGGAACCATTAGTGGTAGGCCAATGTTACTTGGTATTCAGTTGTATAAGCATTAGCACATCTCATTTCCTTGTAGAATATTTGGCCCCGCCCCCTCAGTCATGGTCTATCGACTTTGAAACCTTTGCTTAGTTTACATGTATTAGTTTGTGATTAGATCAGTTTAAGATGAACAGCTAATGTTAAGTCAATGATATTTGGTATGCAAATTTATTGGCATTTGCAAGTATCGTTTCCATGGAGATTATATAGCCCCACCCTCTCTTCATGGTTCATTGACTTTGAAATTTTTACATAGTTTACAAGTTAATGTTTGTGTTTAGGTTTGTTTAAAAGGATGACTTATAATAAGTCAATGGTATTTGGTATGCAGTTGTATTAGCATTGGCACATCTCATTTCCATGGAGATTGTTAAGCTATGTACCTCAGTCATGGTTCATTGACTTTGAATATTTGCATAACTTACGTGCTAAAGTATTGCTATTTTAATTTCAACATTTGCATAATCAAAATTACAAAAAGGCGAGACATATCTCTGTGATAACAGTTTATTATTCTTAAGAACTTCATTGTCCAAAACTATGATATGTCTAAGATGATATGTTAAGCCTGCAATTTCACAAAAGAAAATAATGCACTACATGTATTTATAATAAAGGTCATAGGTTAGGGCAGTTTTTGTCTCGCCTGCGACGAAAGTCACAAAAAGTGAGACATAGGGATTGCTTTTCCGGCGACAACGGCGACGGCTTTGGCGTCAACAGTTGCTAAGTTTTCTGCTTAAGTTAGTTTGATAGGAACTACTTGTGATAGATCATTGATATTTACTATGAAGTTGCATTACTATCAGTACATATCAGTTTGATGACTATTTCGAGGCCCTACCCCCTAAGTCATGGTCCAGTGACTTTGAATTGATAAGCAATTTTCAATGTTAAGTTTTCTGCTTAAGTTAGTTTGATAAGATATAGATCAATGATATTTTGTATGAAGTTGTATTACTATATGTGCATATCAGTTTGACAACTATTTTGAGGCCCTTCCCCCAAGGACATGGTCCAGTGACTTTGAATTAATTAGCAATTTTCAATGTTAGGTTTTCTGTTTAAGTTAGTTTGATAGGATCTACTTGTGATAGATCAATGATATTTTGTATAAATGTGCATTACTATCAGTTCATATCAATTTGACAACTATTTTGAGGCCTTGCCCCCTTGGACATGGTCCAGTGACTTTGAATTAATTTCTAATTTTCAATGTTAAGATTTTCTGCTTAAGTTAGTTTGATAGGAACAACTTACGATAAACAACGATATTTTTCTATTAAGTTACATTGCTGTCTGCACATTTAGTTTGTCGACCATTTTCAGGCCCTGCCCACTAGATCATAGTCCGGTGACTGAATTAATAAGCAATGTTGATACCCTTGAGATTGTCTTTTTCTGAATTTAATGGTGATAGGCGAGACATATCTCTGTGTCAACAGTTTATTATTCTTAAGAACTTCATTGCCCAAAACTATGATACGTCTAAGATGATATGTTTAGCCTGCAATTTCACGAAAGAAAATAATGAAATATATGTATTTTGAGGTCACTAATAAAGGTCAAAGGTTAGGGTAGTTTTTGTCTCGTCCTGAAAGCGAGACATAGGGATTGCTTTTCCGGCGACTACGGCGACAGCGTCAACAGTTGTTAAGTTTTCTGCTTAAGTTAGTTTGATAGGAACTAATTGTGATAGATCATTGATATTTACTATGAAGTTGGATTACTATCAGTACATATCAGTTTGACAACTATTTTGAGGCCCTGCCCCCTAAGGACATGGTCCAGCGACTTTGAATTAATGAGCAATTTTCAATGTTAAATTTTCTGCTTAAGTTAGTTTGATAGGATCTTCTTGTGATAGATCAATGATATTTTGTATGAAGATGCATTACTATCAATACATATCAGTTTGACGACTATTTTGAGGCCCTGCTTCCTAGGACATGGGGGGCCTCGGTGGCCGAGTGGTCTAAGTAGTTACTACTGTAATCACTAGCCAGTCAACACTGAGGTTGTGAGTTCGAACCCCGCTCGTGCGGGTGCACTCGACTCCAATCTTAATTGACTAGGATTGTCAGTTTTCCTATCGAAGGTCGGTGGTTTTCTCCGGGAACTCCGGCTTCCTCCACCAATAAAAACTGGCCGCCACGAAATAGCCCAAAAGCGGTGCTTAAAAGTGGCGTTAAAACACCAAAAATCAAAAATCAAATCAAATCCTAGGACATGGCCCAGTGACTTTGAATTAATTAGCAATTTTTAATGATAAGTTTTCTGCTTAAGTTAGTTTAATTGGGTCTACTGGTGATAGATCAATGATATTTTGAAGGAAGTCGCATTACTATCAGAACATATCAGTTCGACGACTATTTTGAGGCCCTTCCCCCTAGGACATGGCCCAGTGACTTTGAATTAATTAGCAATTTTCAATGTTAAGTCTTCTGCTTAAGTTAGTTTGATAGGATCTACTTGTGATAGATCAATGATATTTTGTATGAAGTTGCATAACTATCAGTTCATATCAGTTTGATGACTATTTTGAGGCCCTGTCCCCTTTGTCATGGTCCATTGACTTTGAATTCATTAGCAATTTTCAATGTTAAGTTTTTCTACTTAAGTTATATTGATAGGAACTATTTACAATAAACAACAATATTTTCTATAAAGTTACATTACTGTCTGTACATGTCAGTTTGTCGACCATTTGCAGGCCCTGCCCACTAGATCATGGTCCAGTGACTGAATTAAAAAGCAATGTTGCTGTCTATCAGATTTTCTTTTTCTGAATTTTATGCCGATAGGCGAGACATATCTTTGTGTCAACAGTTTATTATTCTTAAGAACTTCATTGCCTGATACTATGATTTACTCCTGACATATTAATCAGCTTATTTGATTATGAGGTTTCTTTAAACTGTGTTAATGATGTTTCAGTTCTCACGGTAGTTATGTATATCTTTTATTTTTTGTATACATGGATAAGCTTTGGAACGATGGAAAAGAAGGAACTTTGCATATTAATTCATGACAAATTCCCTACACACTCTGGTCAAAATCCAAAACAAGGGGACATCACTTTAATTGCTGATCTTCTTACCCAGTCATATTAAGGATTTCTAAATGGAGCTTAAGCTGCTATCTAATATGGAATTGTTTGAGGATTTTTATTCTCATTTTCCAGACTTTGGGAACTAAGTCATTTTTCAAATATTCAAATTTTCAGTATAGAGCATTCTCCATTGTTTAATAAACATTCTACACAACCCAGCCATTCAAGTCTTTAATCAATTTTTTTATTGTTAATAAATGTTCTCTTGTTAAAAATATTTAAGTTACCAAATCAGATAATTTTTTTTCTCCCAACATTTTTGTCAATAACTTTGTTTTTTTCATGAATTTTGATTTCAAAACATAAATCAAATCCAATGTTTAATTTTTCTTACGATGTGATTGTAGCTATATTAACTAAAAAAAAAGGGTTAGTAAAACAAAATGCACAAAAAGTACTTTTTTAATTATATATTCCATGTATTTCTTCTTTTTCATGTCTGCATGGTATTAAATATGTGATTACACTGCATTCTTAACCATTTATATGTTTGTTTTAATTTCACATTATATCATCTTCATGTATAAAAAAAAAAAAAAATAATTATATCATAATCCACCACATGCAACAAATTAATCGGAGCAATTACACGAAAACCAAAATATTAACTTGATAATAATCTGCAAGCAGACCCTTTTACTACAGAAAGATTTGTTTAATGTGTAATGCAAACAGTTATTTTGTTTCCTCTATGTCAGTTGAATAATAGGCTGTTTCCTCTATGTCAGTTGAATAATAGGCTGTTTCCTCTATGTCAGTTGAATAATAGGCTGTTTCCACTACATGGATTCAGTAAGCAGAGGTTTTATTCTTTTTTATGTGTACTGATGAGACTTTTGTAGGAGTTACTTTTCTATGTATTCTTTGAATGCTTTATATAGAAGTTCATTAATAAGTGTACTAATCAGTAGTTTAGAGGGGGAAAAAGTACCAGGTACTGTGTTTAAATTGAAGACCCAATTCAGTAATGAGCATTTTTTTTTTAAAGGAATGCTAAATCAACTGGGTATAAAATGAATATTGGATCAAATATATTTAAAAGAAAAGTTTTAATGGAAATACATTTGTAATGAAATCATAACAATCATAACAAGAGAACAGTTGCATATTTTTAAACAAACATGGATAAACATACACAGACAGAAAACACATTAAAATAAAGATTTGGGTTACACGCCAATGAAGGAAATTAAATGCTTTCCCATGATGATCCCCATAAGAATTATGGTGGATCATCACACCTTTAGGAATACAATTTTGATTTTTCCTTTGCAAAACATTAGAGAATTTCAAAAAGAAAAGTCCTGTAAAGGCTCTGCTGCAAATTTAATTGTTTGTAAATGCTGTGTTTATGATTCCTTTAAATGTTTATAGCAGATGACAGGAATTGCCATCAAATATGGCTACTACCATGACTAATCAAGGAAACTTTTACAAGGAAATAATTACAAATATTATTGTCAGAGAACAAACTCATTGCTATTGCTGGGGACAATTTATCCTTGTCATGTCAGAATTAGTAGTTAGATGACAAATATAGGCTTCTTGAATTCTCTTTACCAAGGGATAACAAAATGTTTCATCGTTGATAAAACTTATTAGTCCCCTACCGACGAAGTCGAAGGGGACTTTAGGTTTGCACTCCGTCCATCTGTCCGTCTGTCTATCCGTCAGTCCGGCAAATCAGCTTTCCACACTTTTTTTCTTTGTTCTTGAAGATATTGATTTGATATTTGGTATATATTTTTATCATGACAAGTTATAGATCAAGTTCGAATTTTGTTTCGGTCTGATGATTTAGTCCAGAGTTATGGACCATAACTCTGGACCATTTCTAATGTTAGAGTAGTATGTTAAACCATATCTCTGTACAAAGGGAGATAACTCACTTTTTAAACGACATTCTTTGTTAACTTATTTGAAGAATTTTTTGGCAGGTTTGTTTGTTATTTAGTATAAACTAATTTTCTGAATGCTATATATATATATAAAAAAAATTATGAAGAGAAATCCTTTAAATAGATAATAATCTATTTTTATTAATGTATATATTTCAATACATTACATTGTGTAGATAAAAGTTGTTGACATTTTATAGATAAGTTACAAATCTATATTAGTTTGTGACAAATGAAAGAAAAAATATTTGGAACTATTAATTATATTTGATTATAATTTCAAAAATAGATATACACTGTATTACATCATATCTAATTTTAGAGAACTATTAATCATATCTAATGTTTTTTTCATCATGCTAAGTATAAGATATTGATTGATAATTGGTATATAGTTTTATCATGACAAGTTACAGATCAAGTTCAAATTTTTGTTTCGGTCTAATGATTTTGTGCAGAGTTATGGTCCTTGGACTTGAAAAATTCACTCATATAATCAGTTTTCCACACTGTTTTTAGTCATGCTTGAAGATATTGACATGATATTTACTTTTTGTTTACACCATGACAAGTTATAGAACAAGTTAGCATTTTGTTCCAGTATAATGAATTTTTACCCGGTAGGGGACTATGTATTACCATGCAATACACTCAGAATGCTTGTTTTATATATTTTAGGTGGATCTATTTCTGGTGGATCAAGGAAGCTCTCTACAGGAAGTGCACACAACCAGGATGCATAGACAAGGGAGATTACTCATTTTAATGACTTGTGATAGTTCATAGAACATTCCATTTTTATATGACTTAGTTATATTTTAGTGCTATTTATTAATGTCTTTTATGAATGTTAAATGCAGTGACTTTGAAAAATGTGCATTTACTCTTCTCTAAATATGTTTCATCTGTTTAATTTTGTTCGTAGTTATAAAAGTCAGGTTGTACTGTACTTATATTTGTTAAAAGTCAGGTTGTACTGTACTTACATTTGTTAAAATCAAAGCATTTCATATTGGTACTTCTTGTACTCCCAATATTGTTAAGTTTATCTTGTTTTGAAATTGTATTTTTGAGCTCTTTGTAATGATAAAATTGGAATTTCAGCTATTCAGTAAATTTTACATTTGTATTTATTATATTTTGTGCTTTGAATGTCAGATTAATATAAATTGGTTTGCAATAACTGGAATTTGATCTTTGAAATTTTGATAACCTTGTTTATTTAAAAAAACAAATTTTAATTCTGTAAATTTGGAATAAAATAGTGTAAATTTTGTAGGTCTCTCTTTTACACACATGAAACTTTTGAATTAGGGGCATTGTTAACAATAGTTTTCAATTGACCCAATTTGAGCAAGAGTGAATTCCCTTTTGTTACCATTTTGGAGGTCAATGTGCAGAAATTCCTTCATAAATCACAAAATTCAATTTGTTATACTAGACACTATACTTACTTATTCTAAAAATATGGTTAGTCAAATAAGACAATCAACCAATTTACCCCTCCAAAATGGCAGCCAAGGGAAATAACTCAAACTAAAATTACATCATATTGAAACTCAACAAGCAAAAATGATCAGCAAGACAAGATCTACAAATAAGTCAACATGTTCGAAATTGTTAGTCAACTCTTTATTTGAGTTATTTCCCTTTAATGATTTTTTTTGGGCATTTTTGCTTATTATCTTGAAAACTGAAATAGATAGATTTAGGCACTACAAATAGCAAAAATGGTCAAAAAGACAAGATCTACAAATAAGCCTAATGACTGAAATTGTAAGTCCACTCCTTATATTAGTTATTGCCCGGTTGTTTTCCAATTTTTTGTGTGATTGTCAGTCCCCTTCCGACGAAGTCAAAGGGGACTTTAGGTTTGCCATCTATCCGTCTGTCCGTCTGTCTATCCGTCAGTCCGGCAACTCAGTTTTCCACACTTTTTTTCTTCGTTCTTGAAGATATTGATTTGATATTTGGTATAAAGTTTTATCATGACAAGTTATAGATCAAGTTCGAATTTTATTCTGGTCTGATGATTTAGTCCAGAGTTATGGTCCATAAAAAAACTCCATAAACTAATGTTAGAGTACTATGTTAAACCATATATCTGTACAAAGGGAGATAACTCATTTTTTAAAAGACATTCTTTGGTAAATTTTTTGGGATTTTTGTGGCAGGTTTATATGTTATTGGTCCATAAAAAAACTCCATAAACTAATGTTAGAGTACTATGTTAAACCATATATCTGTACAAAGGGAGATAACTCATTTTTTAAAAGACATTCTTTGGTAAATTTTTTGGGATTTTTGTGGCAGGTTTATATGTTATTTTGTATACACTAATTTTCTGAATGCTACATGTGTATATATATATATATATATATATACAAGTCTAAATTGAAAACAACGTTCAAACCTATGATTGCGTTGGATAAAAACCGCAATATTTATACGTGTGCATGCAAAACAAATTTCTTGGTAGAGTGGTCTAAATACAGCACAAACAACATTTTCCAAAAGACCAAAAAAAGTGAAAAAGTATATTTTAACAAAACGCATTTGACTAGCAGGTCGAACAACGGATGTTCTTAAACCCTGCTGACTGCCATGGCGATTGCCAAATAAACGGATCACCAGATGTAAAAATGGATCTTATTAATTAAATACCAAACAGAAAACAATAAACTTGCAGAAAAGATGGTATACCGCAAACATGAGGTGCAAAAATTTGTACACCATATCCGGATTTCGACAATTAATGTCTCTTCAGTGATGTTAGGAATCGAAACGGTATTTGGAAGGCCATATAATTTACCTCAATTTGGGATTGACTCTTGAATTTTGAAGAGTCAAAATAGGATGAACGGATCATATAAACCTGAAGGCAAATATAATACAAGCCCAAACGAAAAAATATAAACAAGTCTAAATTGAAAACAACGTTCAAACCTATGATTGCGTTGGATAAAAACCGCAATTTTTATACGTGTGCATGCAAAACAAATTTCTTGGTAGAGTGGTCTAAATACAGCACAAACAACATTTTCCAAAAGACCAAAAAAAGTGAAAAAGTATATTTTAACAAAACGCATTTGACTAGCAGGTCGAACAACGGATGTTCTTAAACCCTGCTGACTGCCATGGCGATTGCCAAATAAACGGATCACCAGATGTAAAAATGGATCTTATTAATTAAATACCAAACAGAAAACAATAAACTTGCAGAAAAGATGGTATACCACAAACATGAGGTGCAAAAATTTGTACACCATATCCGGATTTCGACAATTAATGTCTCTTCAGTGATGTTAGGAATCGAAACGGTATTTGGAAGGCCATATAATTTACCTCAATTTGGGATTGACTCTTCAATTTTGAAGAGTCAAAATAGGATGAACGGATCATATAAACCCGAAGGCAAATATAATACAAGCCCAAACGAAAAAATATAAACAAGTCTAAATTGAAAACAACGTTCAAACCTATGATTGCGTTGGATAAAAAACCGCAATTTGTATACGTGTGCATGCAAAACAAATTTCTTGGTAGAGTGGTCTAAATACAGCACAAACAACATTTTCCAAAAGACCAAAAAAAGTGAAAAAGTATATTTTAACAAAACGCATTTGACTAGCAGGTCGAACAACGGATGTTCTTAAACCCTGCTGACTGCCATGGCGATTGCCAAATAAACGGATCACCAGATGTAAAAATGGATCTTATTAATTAAATACCAAACAGAAAACAATAAACTTGCAGAAAAGATGGTATACCACAAACATGAGGTGCAAAAATTTGTACACCATATCCGGATTTCGACAATTAATGTCTCTTCAGTGATGTTAGGAATCGAAACGGTATTTGGAAGGCCATATAATTTACCTCAATTTGGGATTGACTCTTGAATTTTGAAGAGTCAAAATAGGATGAACGGATCATATAAACCCGAAGGCAAATATAATACAAGCCCAAACGAAAAAATATAAACAAGTCTAAATTGAAAACAACGTTCAAACCTATGATTGCGTTGGATAAAAAACCGCAATTTGTATACGTGTGCATGCAAAACAAATTTCTTGGTAGAGTGGTCTAAATACAGCACAAACAACATTTTCCAAAAGACCAAAAAAAGTGAAAAAGTATATTTTAACAAAACGCATTTGACTAGCAGGTCGAACAACGGATGTTCTTAAACCCTGCTGACTGCCATGGCGATTGCCAAATAAACGGATCACCAGATGTAAAAATGGATCGTATTAATTAAATACCAAACAGAAAACAATAAACTTGCAGAAAAGATGGTATACCGCAAACATGAGGTGCAAAAATTTGTACACCATATCCGGATTTCGACAATTAATGTCTCTTCAGTGATGTTAGGAATCGAAACGGTATTTGGAAGGCCATATAATTTACCTCAATTTGGGATTGACTCTTGAATTTTGAAGAGTCAAAATAGGATGAACGGATATATATATATATTTTTATTAAGTGAAATCCTTTAATTAGATAATAATCTATTTTTATTAAGGTATATATTTCATTACATTACATTGTGTAGATAAAAGTTGTTGACATTTTATAGATACGTTACAAATCTTTATTAGTTTGTGACAAATGAAAGAAAAAATATTTGGAACTATTAATTATATTTGATTGTAATTTGAAAATAGAAATACATTGTATTACATCATATCTAATTTTAGAGAACTATTAATCATAACTTATGTTAGAGTGTTATAGGTTTTCCTCACTTTTTTTCATCATGCTTGAAGATATTGATTGACAATTGGTGTATAGTTTTATCATGACAAGTTACAGATCAAGTTCAAATTTTTGTTTCGGTCTGATAATTTTGTGCAGAGTTATGGTCCTTGGATTCACTCAAATAATCAGTTTTCCACACTGTTTTTAGTCATGCTTGAAGATATTGACTTGATATTTTCTTTTTGTTTACACCATGACAAGTTATAGAACAAGTAAGCATTTTGTTCCAGTATAATGAATTTTTACCCGGTAGGGGACTATGTATTGCCATGCAATACTCTCAGAATGCTTGTTTTGAAACTATAATAGACCGAGAAACTTTAAATATCAATAATGATCCACAAGGTCTACAAATAAGTTGAAATTTCTGAATATTTTGGTCAACTCTTTATAGAAGTTAGTACCCTTAAAAGACAATTTTTACCAATTTTTCGAGTTTTTGCCCTTTCTGTTGAAAACTTTTATAGATAGATAGAAACTTTAAAAACACAAAACTGATTAGCAAAACAAGATCTGCAAAAAGGTCAGCATAGATGAAATTGTCAGCTGTCTATTCGAGCGTCACTGATGAGTCTTTTGTAGACGAAACGCGCGTCTGGCGCAAATACAAAATTTCAATCCTGGTATCTATGATGAGTTTATCTACTTATAGGAATTATTACGATAACTGAAAATTTTTACCCTTTTTGCATTTTGGGCAGAAGAAGTTAGAAGATATAAAAGAGAAACTGTAAACAGAAAAAATGATCAGCAAAACAAGATAAAAAAAAAAAAAATTTGGTCATGAACTTTATCCTAGTCTACAATGTTAGAGATTGTCCATTGTTGAAGTTGCACATAGACCTAGGTGAGTGACACAGACTCTTTAGAGCCTCTAGTTTTAAGATGAATTGATTATGTCAAATTTAAAGTTCACATTATACATTGAAATGGATGTGTCACAGTGGAAGGCAATGATTTCTTGTAACCAACACCTCAATTACTGACAGAAACGTGAACCAGTTTTGTTGGGTATGTTTTGAGTTCTGTTTTGTCCCTTCTGATTTTGCCTCTGGCTCACCTGTTACAGTCTGTTTTGGCAAATTATATCGGATGAAACTGTACCCTTTAAAATAAAGATAGTTTTGCAGTCTTTTTCTATGGCGTTTCAGTATATGGGTAACATTTATTGCAAGAATCTGTCTGCCATGACATCCGACAACTAGGTTAACAATTGATGTTCCCCTCTTAAACTTTGTCTTGCAAATGGCATTGCATAAGAAAATTTTGTTGATCGGTCATGGGTGGTCATTAACAAATCCAGTCTTCCTGTACTGTTGTTGTACGGACTAAAAGAGTTTCTAAAGTGAAATTTTGTAGGAACAGCAAGTTGATATATTCCTGCCTGCAACATTCATATGGCCTGATTTAGATTTTTATTGCTTAGTCTCGGCAATACAAAAATGAAACTTTGTTTTACTGATTTAAGTGTGGGTATGGTTTCAAAGAAATGTTTCAAGAAAAAAAAAAC